GGTAGCTCTCTGAATTAGGATCCCTTGTGAGGTGCTTTTTTGTAAGGGTGCCGTACTGTCTTGAGGACCTAAAACGGGACCCTAAATTAGAGAACTACTCTTTATAGCAACCCTTCCAGTAACCTTGGCAGACACGTTTATCTAGACCAAATCGTAAGCCTTTGTGTAGACGCCCCTGAGAAACCACCCTAAACCCTAAACCCCAAACCTTAAATCCTAAACCTCAAGCCCCGACCCCTAAACCTTAGGTCCTAAGTTCTAAATCTCAAAGCCGAAACCCCCAGCCCTTCTGAAACCTCCGCGTCTCTAGGCAGCTCCAGGCCTTCGCGCAGCAGGAGCAGTCGGGGAGGGGGGGGGGGTGTTTAGAGTTTAGGATTAGTGTCACAGTTTTATTTATAGTATCATAGTTGTTTCTTGTAGACGGTTTATCATTATGGTTTCAGGCTTTGGGGTTTCGGGTCTGGGATTTATGGTTTCGGGTTTATGGTTTAGTCTCTGTAGGAATCTCAGTGGGCGTCGGGTTTGGAGGTTGGTTGATCGTCCGGTGAGGCGGCTGGCGTCCCAGAGGGTCTGGATTAGGCTTGAGGGCTTTGGGCTTTAGGGTTTATGGGGGGTTTAGGGTTTAGGGATTTGGGGGTTTCTGGGTGGTTTAGGGTTTAGGGATTTAGGGTTTATGGGGGTTTTAGGGTTTAGGGATGTAGGGTTTGTGGGGGGTTTAGGGTTTAGGGATTTAGGGTTTAGGGTGAGAGGATCTGCAATCACTTAGCCCGGAAAGCTCGTCGATATAAGCTCGGTCGGATGAGAACTGGCGTACTCCACTACAACAAACCCCGAACCCTGCTCTCCCCTCAGCCCAGATATCTAAGGGCTTTAGGAGGGACCCTTAATCGGGACCCTTGTAGGTTACTGTGGTTAATATGGAGACTACCTGGTTTTTTTGAGGGGTATATAAGGACTATACAATGGTTATTTAAGGTAATGGGATTACGGGTCCCTATTAGGGGTCCCTCCTAAAGTCCTTAGAAGATAGCTCCGAGTCCGAGATAGCCCCAGACCCTCAACTGTTTTGCTCATGGGGTGCGACACAGCACCAGCGAGTCCTGACTGGAACTCTACAGCTCTGAAGCCTGGAGCCTTAAACCTAGGGCTTAGGGCTTAGGGTTTAGGGTCTTCTAGGGAATCAAAAGCAGCACAACGGGGCAAAGCCCATGTTGACCCAGGCATGGTTTTGGATCTCTTTCTAAACCCTAACCCTGAAACCCTAGGGTTTAGGGTTTAGGGTTTAGGGACCCTAAGCCCTGAAACCCGGAAACCTTAAAACCCTCAACCCACCCCAAGCTTAAAGGGTCCGAGGATGTCGCTGAGCCCTAAACCCGAAGCCCTATATCCTGATTCCTGAATGTCCGAGAGGCCCTAACTACACCCGAAACCCAACATGGGAGCCCTGATCGTTAGACTGGGTTCGGGGTATATTCTAGCATTATTGTAGGAGCCGAAATAATTACCAATACTATTTTGCGGGTTCCTCATTATATGCGTACTATGATGGGCCCCAAAATCCAATTCTAATTATGAAGGCCCCTATATTGGTAATCTATTCAGAAACCGAAAGGCAGGGTGCTCTCAAATGTTACCAAGTAGAAACAGCACTGAAGCCCAAGCCCTCAAGCCGTAAACGCCCTCAAACCCAAGCTGGGAACTGTTAACCTTGTGCCCTGCGGCACAGCCCACGGGTTCAAGGAAAGCTTCGACAACGTCCAGGTGGGATGCCATTTTGTGTAGGATTAGGATTAAGAAGTCTTGCAATGAAGCGCCAGTCGCTTGTGTGCCCCATAGAAATTACGATACTTAACGCATCGTATACCCCGAAAACATAGTCTCATAGTTAGGTAGGGCAACTCCGGGCTTGGAGCTCAGTGAAAGTTAAGTCTCAGAGCTTCGAAAGTGAAGGGCGCCTTTCCTAAGCTCTCATTCCTTTTCGCCGCCTTCGGTGTTATTTGACCATGTACCCTAGGTCCAAAAAGCAGAGGCTATAACCTCTAACTCCGGGGTCAGAACCTGCTCTTTTGTAGGGTTTGGGGTCACGGCTAAGACCCCAAACGCTGAAGTGGAAGTCGACGTAAGCAATGGCCACAAACGGACCAGATTTGTCAGCTGGACGCTCCCGCCTGGCTAAGAAGCGCCCGGGTGTGCGCTTCAGGTTGATAAGGGTTCAGGGCTTAGGGTTAGGATTTGATGAACCCTGAAACCTAAACCCTAATTGTTTACAAAGAGACCGGCAACCCACATTTAAAAACAACCTAATTGTTCGAATCCTTAGGTCAAGCTTCAAAATCCCCAACACAACCCTTGCCCCTCAAATCCCCAAAGCCCTGCGCCCTGAGCCCGCTTGGCCTTTGTGAAGCTGAGACACACCACCCGCGACAGCCTAAAGCCCTTCAGCCCTAAAAGCCTCACGGTTTAGGGTTTAGGGCTGAGGGTTTATAAGGGTTTAGGGCCACTAAACCCCAAGACTAAACCCTAGATCCTAAAACCCAAACCCACCTAAAATCCTGAACCGAAGACCACTGGACCGAAACATTGAATCCGACAACGCCCTACAAAACCTTCTAGAGACCACATACAGCGAACCCCGGAAAGTTGGAACATGGAATTTGGATGGATAGTGCTACGACCCCTTATAATTTACCTTGAGGGTACTAGGAGAATGATGTTCCAACTTTCTGGCTTTTACTATAAGACCCCGCAAAACCCCACGAAGCCGTAAAGGGTTTACAGAAAGCCCTACAAAGTCTCTTGGAGCCCACGCAAGGCCTTGTAAAGCTGTAGACTATCCTCTACAACCGAAAAGCATAGCTCTAAAAGACCCCAAACCCTAAACCCTAATCCCTAAAAGACTCTAAACCCCAAACTCTAAACATAAACCTGCAGGTTCTCTTCATACTCTCAAAAGGTCTGGTCGCTCCTCAGCCGCACCCTTTTCCAACTCGGATCGTGGTGGGTTCTGTCGCTTTTTGTTCGCTACCGGTGTATGTTTGAGGTTTACGGTTTAGGGGGTTCTAGTGTACTTTCTTCAATATAACTGTGGGCTGGCAGAGTTCGGTGGCTGTTTCAGCAGGACTTTGCGTTCAGCGGCTGTGTAGAGGGGCGTCGTTAAGGACGAAGTCCATAAACCAGAAAAACCCAGACCCCTAAATCTCTACACCTCTAAGTTTGACAGGGGCTATACGGTGGTACAATCGAGATTCCTACCGATTCCTCCGGTTGCCTATTAGTACGTAAGTGCACAGCTGTAACTTATGAGGAAGCTTCATATTCAATGGACCCTAAACCTTAAACCCTTCTATTCATATGGGACCTTCTGAAGCGAAGGGTATCTTATTTTGGGGTCCTTATAATCCGACTATTTGGGGTACCATATCAGGGATCCCCATTTCGGAAACCCCCAAAGGAACTGAGAACCTCTCCCCCTTTTTCCGAACAGAAGCTTTGTAAATCCACCAGGACCCCCCCTATGGTCATAAACCGAGGGTATAAGTAAGAAGTGGGTAATATAGGGGCCTTCAGAATTACCGATACTTTTGTGGGGCTTCCTTAGTATATAATTAGAGTATGAATATACTCCCAGAACCCTGTTCCAACTATGAAGGCCCCTACTTAACCTGGAGGGTCCAGGAACAGCCTGAGTAAACCCTAAACCCTAAACCGCCCAAACCTCAAGGCTCTCAACAGTCGCGTGGGCGCGCACGGCGAAGTTTGGGGCGAGGACTTCGTGCTGTCGGTACCGGCCCTGGCGGGGGTTGAAGTACGCTTTTAAAGCCCATGTCATATCTGGAGTCTTAGAGGGTTTAGTGTTTAGGGTTTAGGGTTTAGGGTTTAGAGGGTCATACCCTATTCCCCTGTTTTAGGATACCTAGCTTGATGCTTAGGATCTGCTGTATAGAAAAGTAGGCACCCTTACAAAAGGGTATGACCCCATAGGTAGGGCTCAGACCCCGCAGACCCTCGCTTGGCAGACTTTCTCCCCAAATCGCGACGCGATCAACTCCGAAACCAGAGGACCCTAAACCCTACGCCTTAAGTGTAAGCCCCGGCTGCAGGCCTTCAAGGACTTAAAGCGTAAACTCCCGGCTGAGGGTCTCCATTTTGGTGGACTCGGTTGGTTTTTTTTGTTCGGGGGATGACTGCCTGAGGCAGAGGGGCGCGGTGTAGGATTTAGGGGGGGTCTCAGGGGCTGGGCTTTGGGCGCAGGGCTTCGGATCTCAGTCAGTCTCCGGGCGCAGTTTAACGCGGGTCTCAGGGTTAGGGCTTGGCAGTGAGGGTTTGGGTTTCGGGTTTGGGCTT